TTTAAAAAAAAAAAAAAAAGTAAAATAAAAGGAAAGAATTTCTTCTTGCATCTAAATAAGAAAGTTCAAAAATTATACGAAAAAATGAACAAAAAGAAAGACAACTAATAATACTAATACTAATATTATTATATTATTATATATATATATATATTAATAATATTATATTTATAATATATAAAATTATTTATTTATATTAAATAAAATTTATATATAATATGTAATATTAAATTTATAATATTTAAATTTTTTATAAATTGTTTTTTAAATTTATAATTTAATATTACATAATATTCTTAAATTTTATTTAATATAATTTAATATTATACTATATTTATATTTTATATTTAACATTTAATAATAAATTTATAATTAATTTATCTAATAACATTATATATATATATATATATACCCAATACTCAATATATAAATACAATGGTGTTTTATACTCGATTACGAAAGCATTTATCAGTAAAGATCGCAAAACACCATAACCATAATATTATCCATGACTAGTTCTGATTTAGCTGTTCGTTTGAAGTAGCAATAAAAAGAAGAAGAAAAAAAAATGGATAACTCGTAAAATAGTCAATACTACGTGTTGTTCTAGATCGAAAAGACACTAGTGTAATCTTACGTACGTCTCTTAAGAGATACCAACCGATCAGACTAATTAATATCTCGAAACTGGCGTGTGTGTGGAGTCGATATCTCGAGCACCGGGAAACACTAAACTCGTGTTAGGTATTATCGTCGACCTATCGCTGAATAAAACTCGGTCAGCTGTGAGATGCTTTATTATTCGCCTCGGTTAAATACGGAACGATTAAATTGTAAATAAATACACGTTTATATGTGTGTATGTGTATAGATGTATGTGTATAGATGTATGTTTATGTATCCTTAGACTCACGACACTACGATGACGATGAAAGATAGTCAAGGAAATTACCAATCTCAAAATTACCAACACTCGTTTGATCTAATTTTTTTTTTTTCTTTTTCTTTATTACCTCGAACACATTGTAATTATTTTGTTGAAAAACAAAAAAATAAGATTATTCTAAAGATTTATAAATTCGTAAAATAATGAATGAAAATATTTTCAAATTTATGTCCAACGTAAATTTACAAGATATTATATAATATTAAATGAGAAAATAAAAAAGAAATAGGAAAGTTAGCGAGTTTATACGCAAATGCAAATAATATTATAATATAAATAAAATGCGGAAAGAGAGAAAAATAAAAAAATAAAAAAAAAAGAAAGATTTTATGTTTAACACGCGAAAGCATAATAATCTGTAACGTAGATAAAAAATTTAGCAAGCCAATCTCGTCATTGGACGATATGTACGAATCATTAAAGCTAAGATCGGCCAGAAATCAAGCAACTTTATATCATTCTTTCTTTCTCTAATTGATCTTTTTTTTTTCTATGGTGTTGCTTTCTAGATCGTTAATCACAATTCCTGTTTTATATATAACTTTGTAGATTTGTACTTCGATTTACCTTCAACGTTGTTCCAACAAATATACATATATACATATATTAGTGTGCAAGATTACAATTATGAATTTTTGTATTTTTTATTTATTATGTAGAAAATGTTATTTTTTTATTTTTTATTTATTATATAGAAAACTTTATTTTTTTATTTTTTATTTATTGTAAATAAAATTTTGTATTTTGTATTTTGTATTTTTTATTTATCATATAGAAATTTTGTATTTTTATTTGGTATTTTTTATTTATTATATAGAAAATATTTAATTTATTTTTTATTTTTTATTTATTATTTATTATATAGAAAACTTTATTTTTTTATTTTTTATTTATTGTATATAAAATTTTGTATTTTGTATTTTGTATTTTTTATTTATTATATATTACATAGAAATTTTGTATTTTTAGTTTGTATTTTGTATTTATTGTATAGAAAATATTTAATTTATTTTTTATTTTTTATTTGATGTATAGAAAATATTTAATTTATTTTTTATTTTTTATTTATTATATAAAATTTCAAGATATTCCTATGGTAATTTGTGTATGATATATGCCCCAAATATTAAATGTATAAAAATACAATCAAATATTTATTTTAACATCGACATATTTGTTATGTGCTTGCTATGTGACATTATCCAATTTTTAATCTTTTACGATAACATATTATATATATACACATGTGTCATTTATATACCTACTCGTGTATAATATATTATTTAAATATATAAATTGTACACGATCGAATCTATGAAAGTTTAATCACGTCTGATTATCGTTTCATGAATTTGATACGTTAAAGAAAAAGAAAAAAAGAAAAAAAAAGAGAGAAAAATGTGTTTGACATTCTCCAATTTTTGATCTTTCATAATGTAACATATATATACATATATATTTTATATACATATACTCGTGTATAATATATTATTTAGATATATAAATTGTACACGATCGAATCTATGAAAGTTGAAATACGTTTGATTATCGTTTCATGAATTTGATACTTAAAAAAAAAAAAAAAAAAAAAAAAAAAAAAAAAAAAAATAGGAGCTGTACTTCAACTGATGAACCGATGAACCACGAAAAAAAATTGATCGACGTATCACTCATCTCTTATATTTTTTTTTCTCCTTTCATAAACTCAAAAGTATAATGTAATCGTTCGTTTGAAAATTGTATATGAAAAGATCGTAAAGAAGAAAAAAAAAAAAAAAAAGAAGAAGAAAAATACAAAAAAGAGAAAGAGATAGAAAGTTTGTGTTTGTATAAGAGAGAAACGTAGATGAAAATAAAAAAAAAATTGATTGAATGGGTTAGAATCAATCGAATAAAAGATCGAACAGATCCGGTTATCTAAAAATAGTACGATGTTGAGTGATTCTTCATCTTCTTGTTAAAAAAAAAAAAAAAAGTAGATAACCTGAGAAAGATACGTAAAGAGAGAGAGAGAGAGAGAGAAAGAGAGAAGGTGGTTGGATATCGATCGGTGCAAAAGTGGATGAGAAGAAGAAGAAGGAGGAGGAGTAGGAAATCGAATGAGTGAAAAAAATAAAGAAGGAAAAAAAAAGCTTTTGAACATTTTCAAATCAAATCCAAAAGTAATTTTGTATAAATTCGATTGAACAATTTCTTAACGAACACGATTCACGTGATTATGTGACCAATGTAACGTTACAATTAAACATGATCGTTTGTAGGATGAATTATATCCTGAGCACGTTGGAAACTTTCGAAGGAATCAGGAATAAGGATTGGTAAATGACTATACTAACGTTTGCTAGGTTGTAAAACATCGATCAAAGGGGAAGAAAAATACTTAGAAAAGGTAAAAAAAAACAAAAGATTAGTCGATCGTTAAATACGTGTATGTATATATGGAAAACGTATTGTACGTATATATATGTGTTTATATGTATACTATATATACATTATCACCATGATGATGAGATGCCACGCGAGTACTGTGTCTTTTCTCACACGCGATTTTACGATGAGAACAACATGAAGAAGACGTAAAAGAAGACGACGATGTTTAACGCGGTATGCATACGTGAATGCAACGTGCCAAACTCGAATAAATTATAGTTAAACTACGTTTATTTAGAATCTTAAAACAAGAAAAAAGGTTACTAGGCGTGATCGGTAAAAAAAAAAAAAAACAAAAGGTTTATATATAGGGAATGACGATTTTAATTTGATTTGAATCGGTAATGTTAGATTTGTGGGTTTTATAATGATTTAAATGTAAATTTTTTTAAAATTGTATATTGGAAGTAAAAAAAAGAAAAAGAAATTTTTTAAAAGATGAAAAACACTTCATACTTAGAAAATAAATAAATAAATAAGTTATTAAATAAATATTTTTTCGATAATATGAGATTTGTAGATTTAACAACGATTTTAATTTAATTTGTTTAATTTAATTATAATTTTATTTTTTTTTTATTTGTAATTTATATATAACAACGATTTAGATATGACTTCTTTAATTTAATTTAAATTTTTATATTTATAATTTAAATATAACAACATTTTATTAAATATAACAAATTATTAAATATATATAACAAATTTTATATTTATATTTAAATATAACTTCTTTAATTTAATTGTATAATATTTATATTTATAATTTATATATAACAACAATTTAAATATAATTTTTTAAATTTAATTATATATTTTTATATTCATAATTTAAATATAACAACGATTTAAATATAACTTTTATTTAAATTGTATATTAAAAGGAAGAAAACAGAAAAAGAAATTTCTCGAAAAGATGAATGACACACGACACTAAAATGAAATAAATAAATAAATAAATAAATAAATAAATAAATAAAGGAATAAAAATAAAAGTACAAGAGACCTACCACGATTTTAATTAAATTGTTTTCAATAATTTGAATTTACCAACGATTTAAATATAATTTTTTTTTTTTTAAATCTTACATTAGAAAAGAAAAAGAAAAAGAAACTTCTCGAAATGATGAATCATACTCAATACTAAAAAAATAAATAAAGAAAAAAGAATGAAAGTAGAAGCAACCTAAATGAAAAAAAAAAGGAAGGGGTTTAATTCATTAAATTGTCAAAAGTAACTTGCCAGTTAATGCAATACGAATAGTAGAAAAGTTGTAAGCTCGATAGCACAGAGATTTAGGTTATCTCGAGGGTCCAAGGCATATCGAAGGGCAGACAGACATCTGGCCGATCAATCTGAAGCTGGTAGAGTGAGTGAGAAAGAGAGAAAGAGAAACAGAGAAAAAGAGAAAGAGAGAGTTCGTGTTACTTGCCAACTAGCGTTTACACGATTCACACATCTAGTTGAATATAAATATAAAACGCGGACGTAAGGAAACGCGTTTAAAGTTTATCATTATTATCATATCCATTTCTATATTCTTTCAACACATTAAAAAAAAGTAACACACTTAAAAGTAATTATATATATATAGATATATATAAATATTCATGTTGTGATTACCCTCAGTCAAGTAATTTCGTTTTATTTTTTCCACGGATTCAAATCTTAACTATATATACATATATATACTTGTTCACGTTATAACTTATGACGGTACACACACATAAAAAAAAAAAAATAATAACAGATGTATCATATATCAAATAATTAAGATACGACGAAAAACTTCAACAAACTGTGTGGAAAGGGTTTATATAATTTTCTATTAAACAATCCCGCTCCGGTAACGAGTGAAACAACACGAAAATGATTTTGTTGTATTTTTATTTTTTCAACAGGGGGGAGATGTCCGTAAGGTAAAAAATCAAAAATAAAAACAAACAGTAGATATTGAAAATTGGACAACAACAAAAAATGGTATTCTCCTTCAGGAGAAAAACACGAACGAACGAACGAACGAACGAAGAACGGACACCTTTTCAGACACACGCGCGCGCGCTGCTGCTGGACCAGCCGAATCCCGCGAATCTGCTGCTTGCCAGCGGATTTTTCTCTCGTCCTTGTAAGGGAGCAGCGCGTCACCCACTGGCACAACTACTACTATCAACACCACCACCCTATCCAACCAACCACCACCACCACCACCACCACTACTACTACCGTTACCCACCACCACACCATCAACAACCACCAGTACCGTTCGAGGAGAGTACCCCAACGTTGAAAAGCACCCTTTTGCGTCGGTGTACTACGTTCGCGACCAAGAGAGAGATAGAAAGGGTGAGTGAGAGGGTGAGATGGGTTGAAAAAGATCCCCCACCCCCCATCAACTTGGGGATATATAATGGTAGTACGTTTGAGAGAAAGAGAGAGAGAGAGATAGATATATACTCTCTCACTGGTTATACTGGGGTGGGATCAATATGAGGTTGGACGAACGCGGGAAATTCGCGCGCAGGTCCTTCTACCCCCACACGAATCAGCCCACACCCTCTATTTTCTATCTTACTCCCTCTCTCTCTCTCTCTCTCTCGCTCTCTATTTCTCTCCTCTTTTGTCCTTTTCTTTTTCATTCTATCCTTTTTTGTGTTCTTATTCTTTCTTCATCGTATCAAACACATAGTGCATTTCTTCCATCTCACTCTCTGAACACACATACACACACAGTTTGTTCTGTATGTTTTTCTCTTTCTAACATCGACCTGCCCTACCTTCGAAATAGCTGCCCTGCTTTCCATTGCCCTCACCTGATCGTTCACGCACGATCATACGCCCATTCGCGACGCCCTTACCTCTCTCTCTCTCTCTCTCTCTGTTTCATCCTTCTTGTGTGCTCTCTCTCTCTCTATCCCTTTTACAATTCGCACTGCCATCTACACGTAAGAAAATTCGTTCGTCCTGTCGAATGCTGCGGTATAAATTTCGAGACTATTCGAAAAGCTTCTTTTTCATTCTTTTTCTTTATTTATTTCCTTTCCTTATTTCTTTTATACTTTTCCTTTTTCTTTTTTACTTTCGGATACGGTAGAAAGGAGGAATGGGGTGGGATGGGGGTGGGGGGGGGAGGAAGGAGGATTCGATTTAGAGATCGAAATGAATACTCTGAATCGGAAGAGGCACTTGACCTCTTTCCAAGCTTACTCTTTCTCTCTCTCTCTCACTCTCTCTCTGGTCGTCCCTTAATTAATCCCGATTCTTCAAAAAAACCACCACGAGATTTATAAGCAGAAAGGTAAGGGAGTAAAGTAAAAAACAAACGAAGTAAATCTATTCTTGAAAAGTAAAAATAAAACAATAAAAGAAATTAACATGAACAATGGACTTTAACAATATAACTGAGTTTGACGAGTATACTAGTCATGAGTAAAAAGTAATGAGACACCATTTGATATTTCAAATTGTAATTTTTGGTAAAAAATAATTATTATTTCAGATTTATTTATAAGATTATTATTTTCTTTTTTATGTTATATTCAAAATGAGCAATGTTAACCTCAAAAAAGTAGCAGGATTTTGTTTCATGATTAGTATACTCGTCATACGTAAAAAGTAATAAGATCATTTGATATTTAAATTGTAATGTTTGGTAAAAATAATTATTATATCACATTTATTTATCAGATGATTATTTTCTTTTTATTTAATACTCAAAATGAGCAATTTTAACCTCGACTTGTCATCCATCGATCGATTTTCACGACACACAATGGTGTGCACTTTCAAAACGTATCGTCACAGTTAGCTGGTTAAGATATCATTTAAAAAAAAAAAAATGGAAATTATATCTTCCCAAGATTTATTTTCCTCGAAAGCAGGTGTTAGTGGTTGTGGTGTGTAACCTCAAGAGGGATGAACCCAAAAGATATGGTAAGATAACGTAGAAACTTGGATATGGAAAGAATGGTAGTATCCTTCAGTGAATTGGACTTAGTCCAAGGGACGTAAACGTATGACAATTGTGTGTTTTTATGTCCAACTCCATTACCACAATCGTATGAGCCACATGATCGTCCAAAAGGGGTAGATGATAGTTGATAGGTGGTAGTAGTAGCAGTAGTAGTAGTAGTAGTAGTATTCATGTACTAAGTGGTGTACTTGAAAGCGTTCAAAGTTCAAGAATTTCTTGTTAGTTTCGCGATCCATAGTACTTCTACTGCGTTACTATATTTCCCCTAGCCCCCTTACCCCATAAAGCACCGTGTGAAGTAGCGCTACGGTGGAATTACGGTTTGTTGCGGACGATCATGGTATGCGAGAGCATGAATCACGAGATATCTTCTCGTGTTTGCTTTCTAACCCATGAAATCGTGCACTACGATGCTTCTTGGTTATAACGAGTTGAAATTATAATAGCTTATCGATGAACGTATGATAAGAATGTGGTATATGTGTATATGTGTGAATGATTGTTCAATCATCGATTATTTCAACAAAAATATCAAAACAATTTTACTTCCAATCAAGGTATAGATGTTAATTCAAATATTATTAACAAAAATTATAGTTGGTATGTTTAATGTTAAATTGTAAGGTAGAGGAAGAATTGATTTTTATAATTTTATTTTTAAGTTAGGTATTTGTATTATATTGTTGTATATGTATTAAGTATGTGTATGTTGGTATTTCAATAACAATAACAAAAATATCAAAACTAAAATAAAAAAAAATAAAAACTGTACTAAAGTTTATTATTTTATTAAAAATTATTTAACAATTGTATTAAATATTATATAAAGTTATATAAATAATTTAATAATTGTATTAAATCAAGTATTACACAAAAATAAATATAGTTGGTATATTTGATGGTAAATCGTAAGGTTGGTAATGTTTCCTTCTTGATTTTATTTTTACGTTAGGTATAATTGAACACACACCTGTATTATAGCTCGATAAACTTCCGGCATCAAATCTTATATATATATATATACATCAAAGAATGATATTTTCTTTAGATACTTTATCTTCGCGTTATATGAGAAATATAAAGTTTTATGAGCTTACTTTTGCGTTACAGCTGTTTAAAGGAGTATTATGATTAACTGGTGTATTGATGTGTACTCGTATTTAGTATCGATTAAAATAATAAACATTTGACATTTGGTTTTTTGTTTTAACAACTCGTTTGAATATTCATTTGTATTTCTTTATTTTATTTCGAGAAAAAGTCACCCACAGACTAATCCATTTCTCTTTTTTTTTGTGATGTCAAATAATTAATTATAAAAAAAAATATATTCAACAGTAAGATTAAAGAATGTTTTTTATTTTTCTATGAATTTTTATATATATTTAGTATGTGTGTGTGTGTGTGTGTGTATTGAACTATGTTTTTGAGTTTTATGTTATGAGAATGCGGTTAAGGTTCGTTAAAAGGTAACGAATAAAGTTGCATTCAGATTTTGCGTGAGATTTTGCGTATTTTCTTCGAGGAAACTGTAGAAAAAGAAAGAAAAGAAAAGAAAAGAAAAGAAAAGAAAAAAAAAGAAACCAGAAACCCGTTTTACCTATCGTCCCTTCGTTCGAGGGTAGCATAGCTAATGCAAAGTAAACAAATTCTTGGCAAAGACACGTTAGAGTGAGGCCTTATACGCGGTCTGCATTTTCTCATTGACAAGGGTGGTGCATATATTTCTTTTTATCGTACTTTCTGTTACAATGCTTTAATTTACTATGGTAAATATATTAACGACCTTTTTTGAGAAAGTGTCTTTTAATATTATTTTGTTTTTTACAATGAGTTTAATTACGATCAATCATTTTATTTGTATATAAATTTTGAATAATCTTTTTATCAATAAAATTCTTAATTTATATTTTAAAAATAATTTCTTCTTGAAATTACATAAATGTCATGTGTGATCTATGTTAAATTAAAATATATATTAAAATATTTTATATTTTTATTTTATTTTATTTTATATTATTTTATATTTCAATATTTAATATTTTTATTTTTTTTTTGTATTTTATTATTTTATTTTATTTTATATTTCAATATTCTATATTATAATATTTTATTTTATATTTTATTATTTTATATTTTAATATTTTATTTTATATTTTATTATTTTATATTTTAATATTTTATTTTATATTTTTATTTTATTTAATATTTTGATATTTTAATATTTTATTTTATATTTTTATTTTTTTAAATATTTTGATATTTTAATATTTTATTTTATTTAATATTTTAATATTTAATATTTTAATATTTAATATTTTAATATTTTATTTTATATTTTTATTTTATTTAATATTTTAATATTTTATATTTTAATATTTTATTTTATATTTTTATTAAAAATATCCCAATTATAAAAAAAATACCATAAAATAAAATTACTTTTAAAATTATTGATGATCCTACGATAAGATAATTTTTCCCCTTATAAATTTTCGCAAAAATTAATAATGAATGAGTTATTCTTAACATTTAAAAAGGGTTAAGAATCTCACGAAACAATCTTTATTATAGTTAATTCCCCTTCAGCCCCATGACTTTAACAGTTTACCATGGGAAAATATCGGTTTAGTTGCTATGTGATCGTTTAGCTAGCTGGCAAAATTGTATTCAAAATCTAAATCTCATTTGATATTACTAACCACCCACATAATGTTTTTAACAGAAATTAACGTGTACGCATATATGCGCCCGCATATAATAACTCTCGGATAGAAAGGAATAATCAGACGAACGTGATTAACTATGAAATTATTATCCTATCTATATATCACTGTAACATTTTGCATAAAGTTACAAGTAAATATTTAAATAATTATATTATTTATACATATAAATATATTATTAATTTAAATAATTAATAATTATTAATGTTCAAATTTATTCTGTGTTTAAATATATAATATAAGTATATATATATATATATTGATACTTAGTTTAATAATTAATATTTTAATTTGTATAGTGATATTCTAGTTAGATTTTGCATGTTTTTGTAACTAAAATATTATGGTGTTAAATAACTGGTGTTATGAATACGATTAACTGTAACAAGGAGAACGTACCAAGGATTTAATTAGATTATATAAACAAGAAGTAATTAATATTTATGAATTTGAACAATTATACAACGAACGTATAAAGAAA